GCAAAGCACAAAATCAAAACCTTTCCTAAAACAAAAGAATTTCAGAGTGTCAGGATGGTTATTTTAAATTCCACTTGGGTTTCGAGCTCCCGTATTCAAAGGCGTAACTTAGCGAAGAATGTGCAGCTTATAAAAACAAACAGACATCCTGTGGTTTGAGTCCAAGGAAGGGAGAACCACCATTTGCTGAAAATCTGGCTTTTTGGTCATATGCTTTTGTTTTAAATGACCGATGCTGGAGCTCTTGATGATGGCCTCTGGAAAGCATCTTTTGTGTTTCTCTTTAGTCCAAGGAGCAAGGGGGATAAACTCTCGTGTGTCATGTTACCTTCCTTGTTTTAGCTTCGTTACCTGAAAGGAGACCCCCTTCTTCATAGAATTCCGGGTCCCTTCCTGAGCTGCAAGCACAAAAACAGTAAAAACTATGAAATCTACTAAAAACCCCAGGCGGTTGTGAAAGCACCAAATGAAAAGGATCAGGGTCAGCATAGAAACAAAGTCCAGACTTGTCAGTGGGAGAGCGTGTGTGTGTGTGTGGGGGGGTCACCTGGCACCTAAAAACCAAGAAAGAATGACAGGTCGCTGGGGTCAAAGTCTCCATTTTTGGAGCAAGGAGGGACCAAACGGCAACCCTCTGGTAGTTCCCAGCGTTCCTCACTGGGGTTGATGGGACTTGTAGGCCAGCAACCCCTGAAGGTCCCACACTTCGCTGGCTTCCATCTGTAGGATTCAAGTGGGTTGAACTGAGATGTTCCCAGGAGGTGGGATCATTGTTTTTGCCACTTCCTCCAGGCAAAGTGAGGGGAGAACTGGGTATATCGTTGATCAAGGCCGACCGTAGCCACAGGGGACAAAGCAGCGGGAGAAAGCTCTGTCTGGGATTTCCTTGAACTCGGTTTCCTTGGTGGTGTGAAGTTCTGTCGCCCGGTTCCTGCTTCTGACAATGACTGGTGGTTTGTTTGTTTTTAAAATGCTGCTTCCAGCTTGACAGCTTTTAACGCTTGGCCTGAGCAAGCAACTGTTAACCTCTCTGAGAGGGACAAGCATGCATGTCCCCCTCCAAAGGTGTGACGCCGTGTGCGAATTGTGCCGCAGCTGTACTGTTTGCAAGTGCCAGCTCCTCCCCCGTGAGTGCATGAGGGGTGTGTGCGCGTGTGTGTCTCTGACTGGACTCCCTCCGTGCACTGCCTGCTTCCCGCACCCCAAGATCAGCTCTCGTGTTCCCCGATCATCTTCTGCCCTCCTGGACCTTCCTCTCTCCTGTATTTCCAGATGGCAGTTTTAAAACCAGCTTTGAAACATCACTTCTAGTAGGCAGGTAGACGGGAGCGCAGGGGTTGCGTTCTTGAGCTTTCAGGAGCTTGGTTGGGTAAATCCACAATGCTTTCTCTCTCTCTCTTTTTTTGGAAGGAGTTGTGAGATTTTCCTTAGCAAAGCTATACAGTCTGGAGCGCAAACGAGCGAGAGGGGCGAGCAACTCAAGTCATTAAAAACGATCCTCTTAGTGGGCTTTCTTGCCGAGATGGACGAGTCCAAAAATGGGTGGCACTCCAGTTTGGGGATCAGTGAGCACATGTCGAGAAAAACCTCTCTCGCCTTGGAACCGTGGAGGTTTGTCTGCCAGTCAGGACACGTAATACCAGATCAGGCAGATAAGACAGTCTAACCAGACCTAAGACAGCTTCCAGTCGTCTTGGGCACCTCCGGGCTTTATTCGTGCGAACCCTTTGCTCAGATGGACCGGCACCCTTCCCCAGATCGCACCGCTGATCCTATCCTGACGAGTGACCTATATTTCTGCACCCATTTTTATGGCCACAGCGTAGGGCTGATGCTCAGACAGTGTCTCTGGTACTCAGAGCATCATGTTGGCTCCTGAAGGAGGAGACAGTATTTTATATTCTTTCCACTGAGAAACTTGGTATACATTGTTTAATTGGGGCATTTGGCGTTTTTTCAAACAGCATATCCTATCTCTAGGAAAGGAGACAGGGAGAGTTCACAGGCCCGTGCAATTGAAGCAATCCCATTTAATAGATTTAAAATGAATGAAGAGACGGATTGTCCCTTTATCAGAAACACTTCTGTGCCGTTCTGCCATTTGAAGTGGTTCAGAGCTCCACAATAAGATAACACAGTGACACAGCGTTTGAGGGGGATTAGACTCGCTCCGTCCCGGGAGAACGCCAAACTAAAATGATAAAACTTCAGTAAAGACCTGAAACGCATGAACGTGAATGCTTGATGTACCACAGAGAGTGATCGTTCCGGAGGGTGAGCCCTAACCCAGAGAGAAAGAGAGAGGGAGAGCAAGGATCAATAACAAGGAACAGCCCATAAAAACAAGCCCCATCTGGAGAAATCTGAGGATTCCCCCCCCCCGCCTTGAAGGTCTGCTTCCTTTAAGTCTCATTGAGATGGATGGGGAAGTGGAGGGAAGCAGAGCAGGTTCAGGGTGGGAGTCTGGCCCTGGGGAAACCCGGCTCAGGGCTAGCCCAGCCAATCGTAACGGGACCAGAAAGAAGCTTTCGGAAGGAAGTGTGTTTCAGAACTGCCATCGTGTGGGATTGAACCTGCCTCTGTGGCTGCTCGAGTGCTCTCCTCTTACACTGGTGTCTTCTCCCTGTATCTCCTCCCCCCCCCTTTCTTGTTCTTCTCCGTCCTCTTCCTCGCCTTGCGTCTCCCTGCCCTTTGTATTTCTGCCTTCCCTCCTCTCTGTGTCTGTCTGTCTGTCTCTCTCTTTCTCCCAGATCTGAAAGATATTCAGAACAGTAAGCACAGATACTTGCTAGCCTCAGAGAACCAACGTCCTGGCCATTTTTCCACAGCGCCCATGGGCTCCCTCACTGCCTCCCCATCTTCCTGCTCTCTCAGTAGTCAGGTGGGCTTAACGTCAGTCTCCAGTATCCAGGAACGGATCATGTCTACTCCAGGAGGAGAGGAAGCCATTGAACGTTTGAAGGTACGTGCCCTTCGAGGGCTTTTTTGTCCTTCCGCCTATCCCCTGCTCCTTATCGGCGGGATCAGCATCTGCTGATTGACTCCCCCTGCCCACAGTCTAGAAATATTAAAAGAATCCTAGAAAAAACATATATCTTAAAAGATGAAGTTGCCAGGACTGTCCACTAGAGAGAGCCACAGACTGCGCTATGCCTAGCATTTGCTATAATCAGCCCTTTCCAGTATCCCCAGGGAGGGGTCTTGGAACTTATCCCCTGCCTGTGGGTCCCCCCCCCCCGCTTGTGGGTCCCCCCCCGGCTCTTACATATATCAACCTTGCAAAGACCATCCCAAGCAATGAGTTGTTTTTAACCGTCTCAAGAGTCCGGAGCTTGGAGTGTCATTTTTTAAGAGTAATTGATTATTTTTGCAGTTCCAAAGCCTCCTGAAGAAATTAGCAGCCCTCATAATTACGTCGCTAGATATAATAAAAAATCTGCACATTTACCAGTGGCTGACTCATCCCGAAATGTCCATCTTGGGACTGAACTTCACAGCAGACTGCAAACTGTAGCTGTAGTAATATCTAGCCAGATGTTTGGAATTTCTGTGCCCATGTGATTTTTTTTAAAAAAAATCACTTAGCCTGTTGAAGTGGACACACTTTTGCAAAATCGTAATTTTTCCTAATAACTGCTATTCCCCACCCGTGAATTACATTTTTTGTTTTGTTCCTTATGTGCCAACTCGGTTGCCTTTGTATTTATAATTCAAAGAAAGCAACTCTTCATTTAGAAGTACTTTTAAACAGTACCTAAAATCAGAATGATCTAAAGCGGCTTGTCTGTGATACAAAGCCCCCCCCCCCGGTAACAGACCTTCGGTCTAGATGGGCGGGGTGGAAGTCTAATAAAAAACAAACAAACAAATAAAATAACAGTAAGAGCAGCTACAAAAAGCTAAGAGGTGTGACGTTCTCTCTCTCTCTTTTGTAAATGCTAAGCTGTGGCCTTGTTTTGACCTTCCAGAGTTTGAAAGGCATATGGCCAACACCCAAAAGCATCCTCAACCCGATGCTTTGCCAAGACATTGATGTCTAGGGGATAATGAAAGTTATAGTCTTCCATATCAGGAGGTCACCGAGAAGGCTAGCTTAATGATACATCCTACAGGTTTGGGGAGTTATGGGAAGGGAGGCCAAGCCAATATCTCGTCAGGCATCTCAGTGGTACAGATGTGGCTTCTTGATTTCTTTTCTTTTCTTTTCTTCTTTTTTTTTGAGCGGGAATGTAAGGCTGACCTTTGACAGGCTTACGAGCCTCTTTGCCCACCTAAGTGCGTACAGGAAAGCGAGAGCTTATTTTAACGGGAGCATTCAGAGCTTCTTAGAAGCAGCCCCCCGATTTTGTCAAAGGCGATGTCATCTTGAGGTCCAGCCGAAAATGCACACTCCGTCTCAGTTTTAAAAGCCACCAAGGTGATTTTGGACAGGCTGGGACACACACACCCCTTGCAAAGGACATACATGCTTGCTTTTTGAAAATGAACACGTCTCCGTGTTTCCCGAACACTCCGGCCCTAAGGGGGACGTCTTCAGATGTGCCAGGTGGCTTAGAGAGGAGTGGGGGCATTTGGCTGTTTTCCCCCCTGACCTGGTGCTAATGCTCCCATTGGCTTCCATTGCAGGAATCTGAAAAAATCATTGCCGAGCTGAATGAGACCTGGGAGGAGAAGCTACGGAAGACCGAGGCGATTCGGATGGAGAGGTTGGCTTGTTTATTGGTTTAGAAAATGCGTCATAATTCCGATGTAGGGCAGACTTCTAGTTAACCCTGCTTGGCTATTTGGTTCGGTTTACTGCAGGAAACACATAACCCTTAACAAATTTTTCAGGCCAGATTACAAATGCCTTTTCTTATCTGCCTGGTATTTTTGCTCCGCAGAGAAGCGTTGCTGGCTGAGATGGGAGTTGCCATCCGGGAAGACGGGGGAACCCTCGGAGTCTTCTCGCCCAAAAAGGTAAGCCACTTTGTCAAATTGTTTATTGAGGTGGGCAGCAGGGGCCAAATCTCGGGCTTTTAGGGTAGCCTTTAGCTCTGAACAAACAGGATTTACAAAAACTAGAAGAAGAAAAAATCTTCACAGAACAACTCGTGTACCAAAAAATTGGTAGGTTATATAAATGTTCTCACACTTGTTTGGGAGGTTGTAGAGGTAGAATGACATCTTTTGTTTTGAGTTTCACATTTTTTGTGTGTGATTCCGTAACAAAGTCAAACGGTCCCTTTTCACGTTCAGTAATACCTGTTGAATCAAATCATGGCCAGAACTCGGAAATCTTGCTTTTTGGCTGGCTGGAGGGGTTCAATTCCTTGAAACCCCCCCCTCCTAGCCAGACAGCATGCTGTCTAGAGCACTGGTTCTTAACCTTGGGTTATTCAGGAGTTTTGGACTGCAACTCCCAGAAGCCTTCACCACCAACTGTGCTGGCTGGGGTTTCTGGGAGTTGCAGTTCAAAAACATCCGAGTAACAAAGGTTAGGAACCACTGGTCTAGAGGATCTGAAGAATTATAACCACCCAGAGTACGTTTTCTAAGCTCTGGCCATCGTGTGTGTTGTGGGTAAGCATGCCTTTTCCCTTCAGAGACGGGTAATGCTGCAGAGAGAAGTTGATCTAGTGGCCGTCCCATGCCAGAAGGCCAATGTAACTGCTCTGATTCAAAAAAGTTGTGTGGAAAATCTGTAATAGTATGTCAGAAACTCTCTCCTGGATTCTCTAGAGAGGATCTTGTGATGATTGCCTGTTGTGTATCGCATTGCTTCTAAATGTTCGATGCTTGGAAATGTTCTGCTTGGCTAGGTGGGGTTTTTTTTGCATCATCTACATATCTTTGTCTTGACTTATATACCGCCCTATGGCGCTCCAAGCATTTTTTTGGGTGGTTCACAACATAATTATGCAAACAACAATTCCATTTCACACACCCCCCCCCCAGCGAATTGGGTCCTTAATTTACCGATCTTGGAAGGATGGAAAGCTGAGTGAACCTTGAGCTAAAGACCCGGACCTGTCGGGATTGAACTCAGGTCATGAGCAGAGTCTTGACCACAGTTGAGCCACATATGGCAAAATGGCGGCCGGCACAGACTACCGAGACTACCGTGCTAACCAGCTGTCGCTCGAAATGAGAAGTCTGCTAGTGGAACATGTGGCTGATACTATTTGAGATAGACCTGGATTTTGGTCACCCTAGTGAGGACAGAGGTGTCTCTTCAGGGGTTTGTGTGTCTTCCGTTAGCAGTTGGCTTCATCCCGTAAGAGATACAGGCGTTTCCTGCTGATTGATCATGCGTTCAGTTCCTATCATAAAGTAGATCTTTGGTGTTCGTGCTGGAAGCATATTAGGTCGCCCTGCCTCCGTTGGGTTTGGATTCTAAAGATCATTAGAAGTGTTGGCTCAGTGGTTTGGCTGTTCAGACAGGGCTTCTCCAAACCCATTCATTTGGCTTTGCAAACTGGCTGTTGTTTCTTCTCTGTGGTTTAACCCCATAATTAGGTCTCCAAATGTCTTGGACATTGACTCTCATTAACCTTATCCAGTATGGCTAATGCTGGGGGAATATGGTTCGAAATATCGGGGGCACTGTGTTGCCTGGTGTGGGTCTTGTTCATACCGACCGTTCTCAGTTATTGATTCAAACACCAGTTTTACAGCCCAGTGGCTTTAAGACAGTTGTAAATGTAAAATATGCCAAAGTTAATGTCTGTGTCACCTGACTATATGGGTTTTCTGAGTTCTTCAGCAAACATTTCATAGAGATTTCGTAGCGCGTGTGGCCAGAACGAGTGCATTTTTGTTCTCCGAGTGCCCGGTTTTGGCTGTGGCAGTGAGGTCTTAACGGACCTTGCCTTCTGTGAGAGGTTCTGAAATCCTGGAGGTTGCCATCATCCACAGGGTAGCTTCCTTCCCACCACCGTCATCCGTTCTTCTTGTTTTCTCCTCCCGTTTCTCTCCTCTTTTGGATTTTCTCCATCTAGATCTTTCCTCGGAGGCCATCAACTCTATTTGATGATGCGTTTGACGCATTTGCTGTCGATCAGGTTTGTGTGTCTGCAGGGGTAACTGCTCAAGTAGAAAAAGCTTCTGCCTATTGAATTAGAAAATACGAATTTTCCCACTCCCTCCTATAGCCTGCCCTGTTCATCCTCGTGACCTTCTGTAGCCTGTGATCCACCTTTTCCCAGAACTGTAAACCCTTCCAGTTCTTGTAGTTTCATCCTTTGCCGCAGTTGGACATTTGTAGCTGTATGTCAAGTGAAACTAGAGTTAATGGTATTGATTGTAGGTTTTGGGTGTCCATCTTTTATTTTGCTCTGACACTTTGTTTTTCCTCTTACCTGTGCTGGCTGGCATCCCATTGGCTAGATTTTCACTCCAAGGCCATGTGACTTGTTTGCCGATTCCAATGGGGTATTTTCACCAAAGAAGGTTGGTTGAGTAGCTGTCGTAGCTCTAGCTTATGTCAAGAATGTTGGCTGCAAGTAGATCATGGTTTCCTTTTTAGCCAAATCTAGAGGAACCCTTTTAGGCTTAGAAGCAGCTCTGCCGAAAAACGTCTGGAGGGCCACATATTCTCCACAGTGAGATCAGCTCATCAGATTAATTTGTTTAATTCTTACTGTCATGACAGTGTGTTCTGTAACATGGGCCTCTTTGTATATTGCAACAACTTTCCTTTATTTAAGAAATATTTGTGTTGGGGGGTATGTGTTCCTTCCCGAGTAAAGGAGGTAGACCGCTGGTTGCATTTGGTCCTTAAAGCTGTCAGGTCTCCTCACAAGAAGTGAATAAATCAATGGCTGTTTAAAAGATGGCTGTTTTCCTTTCAGACCCCTCATCTGGTAAACCTCAACGAAGATCCGCTCATGTCAGAGTGTCTGCTTTACTACATTAAGGATGGTATAACAAGGTAAGAGATGATGCAGAAAACCTGAACTGATGTCACATTTGCACATCACAGCCAGAAAAAAACAGAATCTGAACCCACTGTTGGCTTATGAATTTTTGGCCTGCTGATGAAAACACGGCTGGCTTGCAAGGGCTAAACCGAGGATGTTGGCTGTTTCCCCACCTAAGAGTTGAGGATGAGCTGTGTGAGGAAAACAGGCCAGGAAGATGGAGGACGCCCCGCACCCTGTTTGTTTGGCATGGAGTGTATGGTTTAAGCCACGTTAGAGTGTATGGTTTAAGCTTCTTGGCACGTGCCCAGGCACCCAGTTAAAGACCTCTGAGCGTAGGCACCTGCCCGCCCAGAGCCAGGAATGGCATGGGTTCCCGGGGAGCCCCTCGACACATCTGGGGCTAAGGAACAGAGTGCCTTTGGGGCCAAACTGGTGGGGGAACCCGTGCCGCCGGGGCCAGAGTGCTGGGCTATGCCCTGATAAGACCAAGGTTCGAATCCCCTTCCTGGCGTGAAACTCGCGGCGTGATCTTGGGCCTGCCCGCTGTGCTCCGCCTGACCTGGTGGTTTGGGTCCTGCTTTTCCTTTCGCTCCCAGAGTGGAGCTTCTAGTCCTGTTGGCTCTGAACCCGGCCTCCTTCTGCTCCCCAAGTTCTTACTCAGTGAGGGTGGCAGGAAGCCTTTTGCTTCTTGCTTTTAGTGCCGGCCTGTTCTGTGCCATCCTGAAATCTGCCCGGAGATCTTGATCTCTCTCCTGCCCATCCCTTATGCAGATAGAGGGCCTCCCTTTTGAGGCCACCTTTTTCTCCTCTTCCAAAGTGAACGTGGTTGTATCACGTTCTCAGCCGACAGGCAGGGCCCACTCTCAATTACCCTGGTCCTTTTTTACATGCAGGAGATTTAACTGTAGCCGTCAGATCTGGGCTTGCAGAAGCCTCTCGCCGAGTTTATTTCAACAGAGGAAAGGGACAGGATAACTCCATTAGCGGGGCTCTCTTCTCTTACCTTAGTTCTGAGAACTCAGTTGACTGGAGGGTTCCAGGAACTGTTTGTGTTTCAAAAGGTGGTTGGGAACCTATTAAAATCCCATTTGTTGGGTGCAGGGTCGGCCAGGCAGATGCGGAGCGGCGTCAAGACATTGTGCTGAGCGGGGCTCACATTAAAGAGGAGCACTGCATTTTCCGAAGTGAGAGGAACAACAACGGCGAAGGTGAGGCGGCAGGAATTCCTCCTGGTTCAATATCAACATCCGTTTGTCTTTGTAGGACTGATATTTGCCCTTTGTCTCCCCTCCCCTTCTTTGGAGACAAGAAGCTGTGGACTAGCCACCCCCCCCTCGTCCCCCCTCTGAAATCTGTCACTGTGCCTTCCCACAGCATCACCACGACCCCTCTGGAGGTTTTAGTGGTCGCTCTGAAAAAGACCTTTCGGAATAGCTCCTTTGGGGAGTCCACTCGTGACACCAATCCATTTCCCCCCCTCTTTTCTAGTTATTGTTACTCTGGAACCTTGCGAACGATCGGAAACCTACGTCAATGGCAAGAGGGTGGTACAGCCTGTTCAGCTCCGCTCAGGTAAGCCGTCAGGGCTTAGGCAGTTAGTTGCCTTAGAAGAAGTGGCCACATCCTGTTAAGCAGCCAAGGGAGCTGCCTTATGGCAGGTCAGACTGGGGGTCCCTCGGCTGCAGGATCGCTGGCTCTCATTGGCAGCGCATTGCCCAGGTTACCTGCTTAAACTCTTCCATGTAACTTAGTATTCCTCCTTCTTCTGTTTGTTTCCCCTCTTTCCTCCCATGGCCTTTCCTCCCTTTCCATTTTGAGCTTTTCCGTAAGCCAGAGTTGTTGGTGAGCCTGAAAGGAAGGCACGTAGCCCAAGGTCACCCACTGAATTTGCAGGCTGAACGAGGAGCGGTATCTGAGCGCCCCCAGATCCCAGTCCAGTCCGATCCTTGGTTGTGTGTGTGTGTTTTTTTTTAAAAAATCAGACAGATCAGGTCCTTCTGCATGCAGCAGACGTGCTTGGCTGCTGAGCCATGAGCCTTTCCCAGAAGCCCATCATCTCCTTTCCCGGGTGTTAGAATTTTATGGGTTTTTTGGGTTTCTTTTTATCCTCCTTGAAAATTCATGGCCGGGGGAAATTATTCGGCTGAATGACTCGGAGGCGCTCTCAGCTCTTCCCTCTTATCGTAAAAGTCCTTCGGTTGTAAGCTTTTCATTGCTTGTCCAGGAAATCGCATTATTATGGGGAAAAACCACGTGTTCCGCTTCAACCATCCCGAGCAAGCCCGTGCCGAGAGGGAGAAGACGCCGTCGGCAGAAACGCCCTCGGAACCGGTCGACTGGACTTTTGCTCAGCGGGAGCTGCTGGAGAAGCAGGGGATTGATATGAAGCAGGAGATGGAGAAGAGGTAACCAGTTCTGTTTGGCGCTGGAAAGAGGAGAATTTTTTTTCTTCCTTCTCTTCTCTTCTCTTCTGTCCTGTATTCTGTTCTGTCTTGTCCCTTTCTTTATTCTTACCTACTTCTGCCTTGCCTGTATTTGAATACAGCTCCCATAACCCCGTGCCCAACATAACCGGCAATCGTGTTGGCTAACGGGGTGAAGGTTGTAGCCTGGCCAGGCAGGAAGCCCCAGGTTCGAAAAGACAGACGTGATCTGTTCTCTTGTTTTTGCTCCACTGTTATCCCTGGTGTCAACTCCCCCTTTTGAGTCTTCTTTTCAAGGGAATGGCGAGCAAGGTGTCTGCAGCGCAGCATAGCTGGAGCGACTGACCTCTGCTTCTTTTCCCCAGGCTTCAAGAAATGGAGATTCTGTACAAGAAGGAGAAAGAAGAAGCAGACCTCTTACTGGAGCAGCAGAGGCTGGTAAGTGTCGCGAGTTATGAGCTCTCTTGGCAAATGCCGGATACGGTGACCTCCTCCGACTCTTGGGAGCAGGAGACAGCCAGAGGGCATCTCCCTTTCCGCTGTGCCTCGCCGGATCGCAGGCTGTTTTGGATTTAAATGTCACCCTCAAGTTCAGGAAAGGGGACACCTTAGCTCTGCAGGTGTCGTTGGACGCCGGTTCCCAGAGTCCTCCCCCCCGGTGGTAAAGAACGATGGCCCCCGTAGGCCAAGATGATCGGGAGGGCCAAGGCTTGCCTCCTTCGACCCAGGTCCAGGTTGAACTGAAGCCAGTCCCGTGCCAGCATCTTGGTTTTTTAACTGGCCCGAGGGGAGGTCTTGTGTCCCCATCTAACCCCTTTCCCCGGTGATCTCTCAAGTCCTGTCTTTGTGGTGTTTCCGGTTATGGCCGCTTGGAGAGTTTGCCTGGGTTTTGTCTTGGAATGATCACCACGTTACTAATTCTTTGCTGCCGGGATAGGGAACGTTCTAGCTGCGTGCAGAGACGTCTTCCGTGTCATGCCCTGAAGGATGGCTGCCACTGTGCATGTCTTAACTTTTCTGATCCTCCTTGCATGGAGACTTACAAAGGGGTGCCGAGGGCGGGCAAGGGAAGAGGAGGGCGGGCGTCTGAGGCTGGCAAGGGAATCATGTATAACTAACACAGGACAAAAGGTCTGGCATGGAGCAAGCAGATCTCCTGAATTACAGGCTAGGGGGAAAGGTACGGGTTTTTGTTCTCCTCCTGGTCAACAGGAGGTCGTCATACAATCACTACACAATGACTTTCTTAGAGAGCAGAACCTCGTGGTTAGCAAAGAGAAATAAGGGGGCAGGGGAGAGGAGAATTCAGGGTCCCCCCCCCTTTTTGGCTGTCTGAATCACATACACAGGTCATGGTGCTCCCCCATGTAAGGATGGTCCTTACTCTGGAGTAAAAAGCCTGGGCACCTCCGCAGCAACCCTTGTGCTCCGGGTACTGTGGCGTTTGCTTTCCTTCTCCCTGTAAACCCACTGAGTAGGTGAGAGCGAGGGTGATGGGAAGCAGTGGGAGTCCTGGCTGACCTGCCAAGGAGGGCCTGGGAAGGTTTTTTTTTGGGGGGGGTTGAGATCTGAAGGCGGGATTTATTTATTTCTCCGTGTCATTACAGACAAGGGGGAACTGTTGATTTCAGAAATGGATCAAAAGGGTAAACTGCAGGAAAATGTATAAAAGCCATTCAGAAAGCAGCAGTATATACTGTAGACTGATATTAAAGGTTTCATTAAAAAAAAACAACAACAACAGCTACTCCAGGATTTAAAGACATCCAGTAAAGAGAAAAATAAACTTTTTAAAATGCAAATGACAGGAGATCATAGCAATTGCATTGATAGCTTAGAATGACTCATGTCTGCCTTCTGAGTGAAGGTTTTTGGCCTCGGCAACCCACGTTTGCTTGCCCCTGTTTTAATCCTTTTAGGTCAAAGCCTTTCCATCCAACAAAACCCATTTTGGTAATGAATTGTGCGTAGGAGGCAACACCGGGCAAATTTACTTGATTGTTGTTGGTGAATGCAGTGAGGTCTGTGTTTGAATGGTGTTGCTCAAGTTTTGGGAACCTGTGGTGCTCCAGATGCTGCAGTTATTAAGACTCTCGGAGGTTGTCTATCTAGCCTAGTCTTCTGCTGAGTCCAAATCCACCTGCAGCTACAGCTTTGGAGAGACGGCTGCGCATCCTTTGTAAAGGAAAAGCTCCCCCACCTTAAGGCCATCTGCTCCACTGGCGAGCAGCTCCCTCTTTCAGGAAATTCCTCCTAACGTTGAGCCGAAATCTGCTTCCTCCGGTCTGGGTCTAGGGACCCCCGGTTGCTGTCCACCCCTGATGATTAGCTGCTTTGGCTGGTGAGCAGGGAAAACCACATCTGAAGGACCACAGCTTTCCCCCACCTTGACATACATCAGTAACATTAGCTGAAAGACCACCTAGGTTTAAATTTTGAAGGAAAAATTATCGTCAGGAGTGTGTGGTTCTCTGCTTCCCTGCTGAATCTGTGGACCTTGTATGTTGAGATCTAAATCGCTCCTCAGACTTCTTCTTAGGTGGTTCTCTCCTCCCACCTGGTCTTCCTCCTGTGTTTCCCTGAGCCAGAAAGGAATGGGGGGGCTGAAATCATTGAAGCCCCTTGAGATGACAGGTAGTCTCACATTCCAGCCCCTTTCACAGAAATAGTTGGGAACCGGTCTTTGAGGATTCTGCGTGATCCTCTCTCCGTACACAGTGTGCAGAAGGTACGCCCTGCTTGAATATCTTCCGTTTCCCATGCAGTGGCGGTGGGCGCCTGTTTCTTTCAACCCAGACTCTGCTTACCTTAGGAGCATTTGCGCGACCAGGTAGTCGGATCCCTCTGGGGGGTGGGCGGAGGGCGCTGTTCTCTCGAGCAAGACAGACCTGCCAATGGGCCAGGAGTGGACCAGAGGGTGTTGACTCAACTTCCATGAACTTAACCAACTCCAGGGTGTAACTCGTTAGGATTCTCAGCCCACCTCTGGAACACAGCTCCTGTGTTACACTGGATAAGTAGACGCCTAAGCCGCCAGCACCCATAAATAGGCATGGCCCTTGGAACCGCACGGAGAGTTTTGTTTGGAGTTTGGTTGGGTACATCTTGGTGAATTGATTTCGTTTGAAGCATGTCTCTCCCCCCACCCCTTCTTTGGCCAGAAAAGCTTCCTAGACTGTCTGTGAGCCTGTAACAAATGAACCCTAAGCCACCTAGCGATGACGCCTAAGCCGCCAGCACCCATAAATAGGCATGGCCCTTGGAACCGCACGGAGAGTTTTGTTTGGAGTTTGGTTGGGTACATCTTGGTGAATTGATTTCGTTTGAAGCATGTCTCTCCCCCCACCCCTTCTTTGGCCAGAAAAGCTTCCTAGACTGTCTGTGAGCCTATAACAAATGAACCCTAAGCCACCTGGCGAGTTGTAAACCCATAAGAGGCTGGACGGTGGAATGCAGAAAGACCCAAGGCGTCAAAATAACACAGTGTGGTTCAGTCTTCTAAAAGTCTTGGGCATTGTTCAGTTGACCTGCAATAAATGAGCATTTTGAAAATAAATGTCAGGAGCAAAGAAATAAAATGCGTTTTGGAATGCCGCAACTTGTCCTTTTGCTTTCTAAGCATTTCTCTGTTGGGGCTTGAAACCTTCTCGCTCGCGGTAACGACGCTTGCCGAACCGCTAACCCTGTTTTCCTAGTGGCTTCTTCTGAAACCGTTTCCTTCTTGCCTTCTAACACTTCTCTGGCTGCTTCTCTGGTAGACTGACTGGACCGTAAAACCGTGAGCGTTGTAAACCCCGCACCACGTTCTTACTAACCCGCGTTCACTCGACTTAACCTTGGCTGCCCCATCTGACTGTTGTCCTGCAATGACCACGGGGTTGACTTCTGGAGGAGGGAAGAGTTTGTTCTTCTGGAAGGACTCTGCAAATAACTGAAGCAAAAAGGAAAAAGAAAACAAAAAAGAAGGGAGGGAAAGAATGGTTTGACTGAGAATCTTGCACGTCTCTGTAGCAATGCTTCTGCCCACTGGCCAGGTACTTGCCGTTGGTTCTTCTAACAGATCCCTGTGGATTGGATTATGGAAAACCTTGAATTATTCCAGGACGATTAGAGTCAAATGTGCCATGAAATTTAAATTTGGCTGGATTTTAAAGAAAACTACTGGCGATGCATAGTATACAGAACCCAGTATCTTACAACTGGCCTCTTAAATTAGATATTCCCACCGTTTATTCTGTTTTGAGCCTTTCCCCTTCACCCACCCAATGATTTCTTAGTTTTTAGTTGTGCTTCTTTTTTCTTTTCTTTTTAAAAAAAAATCATTCAGACTTTTTGTTTACTATTTTACCTCCCTTCCGCTCAGTTTTAATTTTGGTTATTTTGGGGCCACTTCTCGATTTTTTTTGTTTTCCAAAGGATGCAGACTCTGATAGTGGGGATGACTCGGACAAGCGGTCTTGCGAAGAGAGCTGGAGGCTGATCACGTCCCTGAGAGAGAAGCTGCCCCCCAGCAAGTTGCAAACCATTGTTAAAAAATGTGGACTCCCCAGCAGCGGCAAGAAGCGAGAGCCTATTAAAATGTACCAGATCCCGCAGCGCCGGCGCCTAAGCAAGGACTCCCGGTGGGTGACGGTCTCTGACTTGAAAATCCAGGCAGTGAAGGAGATCTGCTACGAGGTGGCCCTCAATGACTTCCGCCATACGCGGCAGGAGATCGAGGCCTTGGCTATCGTGAAGATGAAGGAGCTTTGTGCCATGTACGGGAAGAAGGATCCCAACGAACGGGACTCCTGGCGCGCGGTGGCCCGAGATGTCTGGGACACCGTTGGCGTCGGCGACGAGAAGATCGAAGACGCCTTCCTCGGTGGGAAGAGCGTCGCCGACGTGGACGACCTCAAGGTGCACATTGACAAGCTGGAGGACATCCTGCAGGAGGTGAAGAAGCAGAACAACATGAAGGACGAGGAGATAAAAGTCCTCCGGAACAAGATGCTCAAGATGGAAAAAGTCTTGCCTCTGATCGGCTCCCAAGAAGCGAAGGCCCCATCGGGCCCGGCCGCCCCGAGAGTGAAAGCGCCGAGTCCCACCCTTGGGGCAGAAGCTGAAGAGAGAGGGGGAAAGGAGGGGAAGCTTGGCTCCGGCCAAGAGGACCGGGTCTCCAGGCTGATGGAGGACGATCCGGCCTTCCGTCGGGGGCGCCTGCGCTGGATGAAGCAGGAGCAGGTCCGGTTCAAGAACCTCCAGCAGCAAGAGATTGCTAAGCAGCTCCGCCGGCAGAACACGCCCCACCGGTTCATCCCGCCCGAGAACCGCAAGCCACGCTTCCCCTTCAAGAGCAACCCCAAGCACCGGAATTCGTGGAGTCCCGGGACTCACATCATCATTACCGAGGACGAGGTGATCGAGGTGCGGATCCCAAAGGAGAACAACGGGACGAA